GACGCACTTCGGAAGAACTGCCGCGTGAGAGCGCCGTTTCAAAAACATGGAGCCATGCACAAGCGGTTGTGCACGCGATCGCAGGGTAACAGCGCGTGCAGGTCCTGTGGTTAACGATATCGTAAACATGTTGGTAACAAGATGTTTTTGCGGAGAAATGTAGCAAAAATTCATTTTTATATTCTTTTACCTTTTTTTTTACGGGCTTGAGCTACCAAATTTTCCTAATATGGTGAATCGCTCCAGTCAGGAAGAAGGTATCTACTATAGATATTGCGCTTCAGAGTTGTTAAAATGTTAGACTTCCATAGATACTAACTGAACCTCTACTGACTTCGCTAAAAGCTATATTTAGCGCAGTGTGTTGCTGAAATAGCACGAAGTATCTATAGGAAAGGAAATTGCTGCGCTTAGTACTGTAAAATAAGATCAGGTTCAAGAGTAAAATAAGAAAGGTTCAAGAAAGAAAGTGTTATTAGTATCATGGTATGTTCGTTTTAACTGTCATTTTCTAGTCAACGTCAACGGCATACATCAGCAGCTAGACGCAAGCCAATGTACGAAGCGTCAGAGGAGGATATGGGTTTCGGTTCGTTTGATTGCAATGACATGACAGACGCAGCTGCAATGCATCGATATAATACAGTTCAATTAAGCAGAAGCAGTGAAGATAATAGCGTTTCTACACCGGTAAGCCATCAACATCCATATGTAGGGGAATTTCAAGTGATTTTAGAGCGTTGAGAATCTCGTCTCAACTTGCTTTTCTGTTCCGCGAGCTGTCAGTATCCCGAGTAATGGAGCTGAACACAAAGTACTCGTATTGATGGTAAGTACGTACGTATTGTCATGCTTCCCCCCCTTATATCTGAATAAAGTAGCGCACTAGTAAACAAGTCGGGTCGCTTTGTTATGGTGAAAACTTTTGTCGACACCACTATTTCGAGAAAATCTCATCTGCAAGTGTCGTTTGAGGAATTACTGCTAGCTCTGATTGTTGAGAAATCTGTAGGAAATGCTAACCATTGGTTAGTATGCTATAATGAAGCTCTTCAATTCTAAAAAAAATAATTATCAAATGGAACAAGGGAACCTTACAGTTAACAAATGTTTGCCTGTGCAATATGAATGAGTACAAGAATTATCTCAGTTTTTGCTCTTTCAAGAGTAATTTGGAGTGCAGAAATGTCTAGTATAAGTGCAAGTTTTTCTCAGGTCGACTTAGCATGCTCTTTCACTCACGACTGCGTACCATCTCGCTGTGCTTCTGCCTTTCTCTCTGCAGTAGTCACAAATACCACACCTTTCCCCTTACCTCCTGGTGATGCAGCAGTATATCTCAACAATGGATTTGTGAACAAGGTTGCAACTAACATTCTGTACTTGATGTCAAATGCAAAAAAAAAGAAAATCTTTTAGACGCATCTTCGAGCTGTGCCACCTGGTGAGGAGTTCCGATGCTCACTTGGAGTAGATCCCTCCATAAAAATTGATTATAAAACACCAGTGATATGTCAGGAACAGGTGATATGTTTGCAGTACAGCATTTAAAACAGGACAACAAATTCATAACAGTTATTTAGATTGGATTTATGTCAAAGAGCACCTTGATCACCCACGAACAGGTCATCTCTCTTCGTAACGCAAAAGTGACTCAAGCTGTACAAATAACTGTCAAAGAGCAAATTCCTAAATCAGCTGATGAAAAGATAAAGGTGAGTAGGAGCGTAATACCCAGTTGTAACATATTGGATAGTGTGCATCAAGGTTTGCATTGTTTCTCCCGACGTTCGCACAAAGCATGGGGAAGCTAAGCTCAACAAGGATCACAACCTAGAATGGACACTTGTTCTAGCGCCTGGGCAGCAGAGAGATTTGTACATTAAGTACACCATTGAACATCCTGCCTCAGAATTAGTCTCCTTTAAACTTATGGCGTAGTCTTATCCAATTGATTTTGTTAGTTAAGGGAATCAGCCAGTTTCGGGTAGGCTTTGCCTATTATTATCGATGTTTCCACTTACCTTGTGTATTTGTTGGGCCGTGACTACCATGTGCTAGACAGACCTACTTGCTGCAATCTTGTTTCTCACACGGCCAACTTTTGGCAATTCTTGAATAAACTGATTTCTGCAGTTAGGCAAACTTTTCCTCTCCAATCAAAATCCAGCTCTATCAGTTCTCAGCTCTCATTGTAATAATCTATTAGCAATTGTTTGCAGCAGTTTCATTTATGAGATAAACCTTTTATGTGCATGAAATATTTTCCATGTCGGAACTGACTTCTTTTGTTTAAAACAGGTGAGAATGTGAAAATAATTTAGACATCAGATCACACGATGGTTGAAAATGTACGCTCAACAACTACGTTTGTCGAGAACACCTGGCATAAATACTCTTTGTGTCTATCCTTTCAAAGAACACTGCTAAATAGATACTCGCATCAGAACATGGATGAACATGGATGTTTGCTTTCATCTTATCTTCCCAGTTATGTTTCAATTTCAATATCTCATCATGGTTTTAACTGATTTCATTTTAGAAAATGTTTTCATCATTTTTATGTTAGATATTAGTGACCTCTCCTTCGGAGAGGTTCTCAATTAAAAAATTATTTGAAAGTTTGATCTCACCTTTTAACGCCTTCTTGAAGGAAAAGTCGCAAAGTCTTTCTCATCGCTGTGTCTTTCCATAGCAACACGATAAAAACAATCAACTTACCACGTTTTCACAACAAAATTGCTCATGTTTACTTAGTGTTCTGCATTTAACATGATGACGATTGATAACTGCTCTTTGACTTTCTTAAGGCAAATGAACTGATTTCGAAACAGACAGAGAAATGCACACACATACAGACAAACTTAGCGTTTTATTATAAGTGTTTATTATAACCACTGCTTCATTCTCAGAGAGCTAGATTCAACACTTTGAAACAGTACTCTTACCTAATTTAAATAGCCATCGTATGTGCATCTCTTCTGAACGTTCTGAAGTTGAATTTCTGATCTTACCTCTCCGTCTTCTTGAAGAAGAAAGACAGATCTTCGTATCCCAACCGTAAAACCCGCTTATAGCAAGACGAAATGAATAAATGAACTAATTCGTGATAGACAGAGAAACAAACACACATGTGGACAAATACGTTCTTTTGAAGATAATGATAGTATGTTTAATTATCACATATGTGTGTAGTTATATATATATATATATATATATATATATATATATATATATATATATATATATATATATATATATAT